AGTCACTTCTGAGGGACCACCAGGGCATGAAATGCCAACAATCTCTGAGACTGCTTCTTCTGTTCCTTCTTTTTTTTGGAAAGACAAGCACATACCACCTGGCTGTAGCCTATGATCGTTGTCTACACATCTCTTAGCTCTGCTCATTGCTGAATTTGACCCATCAGTACTCAGAGTATGCACAACCAAAGCCCTCCTTAAACTCAACATGGAACGGGTCACAGGGCCAACTCCACAGGAGGCGGTTTCACTATGGGACGACAGTAGGACTTTAACTGGTTCAAAAACAGGGGTGAAAACTTTGTTGTATCCTCCAACTTGCTGCCTGGAGTAGTCATCAAGTATTACCCTCTTAAACCATCTCAAGGACCTGATCCGCCAAGATTATTATAGTGCAAAACCTTTTATTCTTAGTAGTTTCTCCAATTTGCATAAGGATGTTATGATGCCTGAGCCTGACAGTTACAGAATTAAAATAAAAGGGCTCAGGAAATGCTGCAGTTAATGGTGGCATGAGAACTGCATCTGTACCAGCCATACGCACTGGCAAAAAGTAGGCAATCTGACAGACTATAACCATGCAGAAACTGCAGTGCATATGAGATAACCTCCTCCACTGCAAGATAACATTAACAGATATATTTCTGGCTATTCTTTCTCTCCCCTCAAACATATTTATTTTTCAGAGTTTGCCTTTGCACTCTTAAAATTCAAAGTTTAACATTCCATGGAAATAAGAGAATGAATGACTCGAAGCATGTGATTGTGTTTGTTAATTCTTTTGGTATCAAACCTGATTATTTACACCCTTCAATCACAAGTTTTGTGGGTTTATCCAACAATGTCACATATACGTAGCATAATAATTGAAATTCAAAGGAATCATTTCATACTCGGGATTTTTAACTCCACATTACAGCAGAATTTGTCTTATCCAACCAATGAAAGGATAAAAACAATGTAGATCTTTAACTAGATGACTAACAAAGGTGAAGTAGACTTTTCATGATTTAGCACAGGGATAATTTTTAATAATCTTGGAAGACAGTAATTGGCCTAATATTTGGAAAAGTTTTGTTGTAGGTAATGCAGAGTTTGTTGAAGATTATATCAGCTGAATCTTGGTTTTAAATCTCTTCTGCATATTAAATACAAAGCATAGTACAAAAACTATGATGCGAAGAAGTCTCTGGCTGGGTTCCATCAGCCAACCCACTGCCTAAAGATGTTGTTCTTTAAATGTATCAAGAACATGAAATCACTAAGTACTGAAAAAGTCAATAATTGTTTTGTTATCTAAATTTTATGAAACGTACGGATGACTACAATTATTTTATTTCAAATGGCTGAAGACTGTTGTTATTTCCTTTTTAGACTATTAAAATAGCCAACTTATTTACTGTGGCACTCCTTTGATCATCAATACTTATGTAATTACACAGTTCAGCTGAACGAAAAACACCACAAAAACTGTTCACTATTTATAACGAGCAATCTTTAAAATTCACCATTCTTTTTCCATAGGCTAGTTAAAACTCTATCCATTTAAATGGACAGCTTCATCATATTTTTTTCTAAATATGAAACACGAGCTATTTCCAGGCCACTCAAGGAAAGTCACGGTGTGTAACATTGAGCTCTTTGATTTGTTGCTGGCATAGGCATCACAAAATGTCATCCCGTCCTCCTGTTAATGGTCACGGTCAGAGAACGCTTATGATCATCACTGATCTAGATCACTGATTTCTTCACACTCCAAATTACTTCACTAAACAACAGCAGAGAACACATATTGAATCTGAGTTTTGAAGAACAGTATATCAGACTGAGCCTTCTCTTTTCTGTGAAAAGTCGATCAGATTAGTAGTGTGCACTTATGCAGCTCTCAATGAATATAAACTAGAAGGAAGTTGTCTATGTGGTATGTAGAATTGTACAGTCAGCTCTTGGTTGCCTGTGGGTGTGTAACCCAGGTTGCAGATTAGCAGTGCTATGCTAAAACAAAGCAGAAAAAAAGGAAAAACACCCACCATTTTTCTTGGAATTTCTGATCTCACTTTTGACTTTATGTGTTAACTTAGTTCCTCGATAAATGGAATAAACACAAGAAGTTCTTATCTAATGTGCATATGCTCTGTATGAACTATGGTTTAGGTTTATGCAGTTTAGTTTATTTCTGTTTTCAATAACTGAGAGCTGACTGTGTAACTATGAAAGAGCGCAGCAACCCACAGTTTTATTTGACAATGGCTAGAAACCTATTGTTTGTCAAAGTACTTCTCTAATTCACCTCAAAATTCATCAGAGTCCCCTTCTGAATTATTTTTTAAAATCCATGAGTAATAACAGCTTGCTGCAACACTGAACTCCAATTAATGTAAGTAAAATGCTCACATGCTTGAAAGGCAAAACAAAGACAATACAAGTGAACAAACTCAATGTGCTTAAAAGGAGATAGATACCACGGACTCCTCTGCCCCCCGGGCCTAGAGACTGACAGAAAGCCATTTTATAATACGGTTTTGTAGCTGTACCAAAAACCTTGCATTAATTGGCTAACTGTGCATTTTATTCATTTAGAGGGTCATTAACACTGAATATGCTTTAAAAAAAATGGTACACTCTTGGGCAATGCAACAAACCCAGTGGTTTCTTTATCATGGAGCTGGGAGAGGGGAAGCTGTTCCCTGCTGCCCCCTCTCCATTCTCATTTTTCTCTGCATCACCTGAGTAGCATCTGCCTCATGCCTGAAGCCTGAAGCCAGAAGACACCCAGTGCACTGGCCAAGCATCATGGAATGATGACTCCATGAACCACAAAGGCAGCTTGAAGGAACTGGAGGTCTCTCTCTGTCCTCAGGAAGGCAACCCAGGCACTGAGAAACCCTGTGAAGCCGCTGCAGGAGCTTATCTACCGGTGAGGAGGGGTGGCTGAGACACTTCTTAAGGAGCTGCAGAAATGTAACACTGGGGATATGAAACATTTAATCTCGAAGAAGGATTGATGGAGAGACTGCCAAAGGGCTAGTGGGGCAAGAGAGGGCAACAGGGGCAGAGAGCCTTTTCTCCAGGGAATCTGTTCTTACTCTTTTTTTCCTGACACCAGCAGAATGAAAACTACTAACCTTACATTACCCATGAGCATTAAAGGTCAATGCAGATATAAACCCGTGTGATGTTCTTTGCTATTCTGAAAAGAGTAACCTACCAGCCCTGTATTTTAGCTTTGGCAACAGCTTAACTCCTGTACTAAAATGAAGGCAAAAGGCTTTCGCACAACAGTATACTGAATTAGAATAATCCTTCTTGCTCCTTTGAATTTTTTGCTCGTCTGAATGAACCCTAATACATTAGGTTTGATATGCTGACTGGTATCAAAATGACTCCAAGGACAAAAACTGCAGGTACTGCAAGTTTAATTCATGTATATGTGCAATTCTTGTAGGAATCTCTCTAAACTACTTGACATCCTGTGCCAGGGAGTTCCACTGAGTAAAAACTTTGCATAAGATGTCACTTTGTATGTTGCCTTTTAATTTCAGTGAGCATTGCCTTATTTTAACACTGGAGAAAATGAAAGGAAATACTTCTGTCACAAGAATTCTTACCAGAATAATTATAAAAATTCACTTAAAAAAGTACTGTCAGGTAGTAATACAGTAGCATATTTTTCAGCTAGCCAAAGAAATTATATTTGTATCAAAAGAAAAACATTTAGCAAAATATTTGCTTTCAGACTTGTTTACTGTTTATTATTTTAATTTACATCAGTTACTGCTTGCAAAACTTCCAGGGAAATAATTTTGAATGATTTTTTTTTCTTTTCCCACTGCATAGTAAATACAGCCTTCTCAGTATTTCAGAAGCATAGTACTATAGAAACGTTAGGGCCTGCTTCTGCTCCAAGTGAAGCTAATGAGAAAACACCAACTGACTTTATTAGGAGTTTATTAGGCCCCAAATCTGCAGCTTTTGAAATTTCATAGTTGAAAATTTTCTGGCTAATCTTCAGAACCGACTACTTCTACAACTATAACACTATTTACAACTTTATTTATATGTAGTTCTTTATTACAATATGTAATATCAATGTTCCTTGTAAAGGTTACTATTTTATAGAAATTAGACTGAAGTTATTGCCAATCAACCTTTCAATAAACTTAAGTGGGATAACTTTCAGAATTTTTCTCAACATACGACTCGGTTTTTATTCACTCTTTGCTATCTTTGACAATTGCTTGACTACCTTCATTTCAAAGCCTTTTTCAGAGTAATAAAAAAGTCCTTTTGGTAGAAGTTTCTTGGTCCCGTTTCAAATTTTGTTCTGAAACATTCTTGTACTGATGAGGACTCATTATTTTAGCAATTCTTCTGTTTCAACACAGTATATAAAGCCATGCCTCTCAACCAATCAACCTCAGTATAAAAGTGTAAGTGAGGTCAACCAGACTGCTCACCAAATCTTTGATCAAGTCGTCTGATCACATGTAGACACAACTCTCAGTCATTGCATATGTTGTATAATGTTATCATACAAATTGAAGCGTTTCCATTATTGACTGCTGCTTGCGTATGTATACATTAACTTGCTGGTCATAAAACTACAACAAAGGACAAGATATACCAATATTGAATTAAGACCTCCAGTCTTGTCTCTCCGAAAATCAAGAAAAAAAATTCGTGTTCTTTATGATTGACCAACTCATGATGTTGTGCTTCAAATATACACATTTTCCAAAATTAAACTGTGAAGTTAATGTCAAATACTGTGTTGTAACTTTAAATATAACTGACATATTAGAACAGATAGATGGGTAATTATGATAAACTACACAATAGTGCTACTGTAGATAATATCATTTATCAATCCTGTGGTCCCCATCATTCATGCATTTACAATTTGGGAATACAGTGACTGCAAAGGATAATAATTCATAATGGCTACATTCTCAGTACTTCATGCTAGCTCACTAGACAAAATAAAAAAGGTTAATTGTATAACTGGAAAAATGTAAAATTTTATTCCAAGAAAATTAACAAGCTACACAGTAAATTTTGGCAAATGCAACTTTATATTGAAATCCACACATCTGTATCTTAAAGAAGGAAAGACTCACAGACTCTAATGTATTTCTAAAATACTAAGAAATCATATTATATGCTTTCACAAGTTAAAACTTAAATAATTTAAAACAACCAATACACCAAAATGTGCAGAAAATATAAACAAGACTGTGCCTTCAGTAGAATAAATGCTTCACAAATTGTGCAAGATATCATACTAAGGCTGCGGTCTCCCCATGACAGCTGTCTTAAAATATAAACATACATCAACTGCCTGTGTTTTTCAGAACAAACTAGAAAGGGCGGCACACCTAGAAAAAAATCATTTCATCCCAGTGATGTGCATACTGATTTTGGGAACCGTTGGAGTAAAAAGGAAAAAAGAGGGCTAAGTGATCCTTCATGCACTCCCAAATGACTGACCAGAGTTATTGATTCAATTTTCCTTGCTTATTTGCTTCAATGCTAAACAAAATGGAAGATACTAGATAACCCTTTAAGGCAACATGTGTTTATTCTGTATAATGATAACTGTTCAATTACGACTGGGTATTATCATTAACGTTGCCTAACAGACTGATATCTAGCTTTTTAAAAAATATAAATAAGAGTCTATTAAACTTTATACCAAATCGTCAAAACCCACAGAATACAGTTAAATGTTATTAATTTCACTGTTAAGGAAAATGGCATTTAGAAAGAGTAATATATTTGGGGAAAAAAAAAAAAAAGAAAATAAAGTCTAAATCTCAACAGAAATACTGCTTTGGAATGCTCCCCAAAACTTACTCACAAGGCAAACAGATTTGTAAGTGTGATAATCCAATAATGCATGGCACATCTTTAATCAGTTACAGTACTCGAGTCCCCAGTTTCCAGTCTTTGCAAAACAATAATTGTATGAAATGTTTTAAAGGTCTTCAGATGTCTAAAATTAGTTTTATCAACACATTAACCTCATATCAACTTAATTTATTAAGAATGTCCAATGCTAATCTTTTTGATGGTCTTATTTTACGTAGTGATATACACAGCATTTAGCACTGATACTTAGCACCTGCTACTTTCATAATCTAGATTTCAACCACATAAAGGAATTCAGGGCAGTAGTTCAGTCCTTTGTTCTTAATTACAAACCTTCAGCAGTGGTCAGAAAAAAAAGTTTAGGTTTAAAACAGGATTAGAGGTGAGCTATTGCAAAGACTGCAGAATGTTGCCCAAATCCTTACAACTGCTGACATCCCATTCTTGATTTTCTCCTCAAGACATGGCTACAGGCCACAATTGCTTAGCAGAGAATGGTAGTGTTTCACAAGGCTAAAGATTTACAGATGCTCCCTCATATAACACAGTAAGGTTCCCTTGGTAACCTGGATTTTCTGCAGTAAAGAAGGGTTGTGCTGAAACAGCGCCTCAGCTCCCTGTTGGAGAAAATGCAGACAAAAGGATTGATTCCAGCTTGGGCAAAACTCATCCAGACAGCGGCCGTTAGAAATCCCCCCGGTACTACAGGCCCTCTTGCAAAAACTCTCCAGTAACAGGCTACCAAATAGGGACCCCATAAGGTCAGGAAGAGGAATGTCATGATGTAGAACATTCTGCTGATTCTCTTCTCCATTTTGAACTCATCTAAAACCAGTAGCCTTCTCCTGCCCGTGGTGTTCGCGTTCTGCCTGATTCCCAACAAGGTCGGAGGTGTGGGACCCCTTCCAAATCCCGCCAGCCAATTAGCAGCTGCTTGACCACTCGCTCCGGGACCATGAAAAGTCCAGTTCTGGCTCACTGCTGCAACAAACTGGACTGGCTTCATTTTCCTGCGATCGTGAACAAAAAATATCAGCTTGAGGTAGACAAGCTGTGTGGCTAGGAGGATAAGGGCAAGAAGAAGCATAAATCCCAAGGAATCATTAGCCCTGAAGGAACGATGCTGGAAAGTGCATTGGTCTTCCTCCCTAATGAACGAGTAGGTGCCCACGTCTAGAACTGGGGGGAAAGCCATGGCTACAGAGAGGGTCCACACCATACAGATAACGGCCAGACAAGTCCAGAAGGTCAGCCTTTTCGTGTAGAAACGGTGGTGGGCAATAGCTAAGTATCTCGTGACGCTGATGCAGAACAACATGAAAGCAGTGTGAAAGCAGGACAAAACCCCCAAGAAGGCAATCACTTTGCAAGTAAGAGTCCCGTACGTCCAAGTAGAGCCATTTTTTACAGAGGTGAAAACAAACGGGAAACAAATTGCAGATCTGAGGATATCTGAGCAGCAAAGATCCAACAGGAAGTAGTAAGGAGCTCTATGCAAGGTCTTATCTTTGACTAGCAAAATGGAGATCAGAAGGTTACCCACCACACTGACTCCTATTATGAAACCCAGTGAAGTCAGTTTCAGAAAAGCTGTTAAAGGAGAGAGATTTTGTAAAATGTTGTCAGCTGCATGGCTGTAGTTCGCCATAGATGGATGGATGATATGTATATTGCCTCAGTCAAGTCTCATGATCTATATATAAGAACAAGGAAAAAATAGATCCATACATCTTACTGAAAATGTAATCCACAAACAGAACTGATCTTGTGTCTAGTCATACAGTACATCCTCTTCTTTCTGATTTGTCATGCCATCAAAATATCTGAAAAAAAATCGAGCTATCAGTTCTTAAGTTAACAAGAAATGATGTCAGAAAGTGCTAACAAAGATGTTAATTTATGGAGAAACAAATCAAGTTGTAAATTTGAGTACTATTGTTTGTTTTTAAAAATCATGAGGCTTTTTTTAAAAAAAATATTTACTGTTTAGCATGATTGATTATTGGCATTTCACAGATTTGGCGTGTTACAGTTTCAGAGCTGACCGGTGCCCCTTATATTTGGTAGCATATATAATTTTACAGTTAAAGCCTCCGAGATTTTATGAATCGAAAGATTCCCAGTTTGCAAGCCCAAGAGTTAATCACTGACATCTTTTAGCAAAATCCCCAAAGACTGCTGATATTTTGACATTACCTACATTTATTTTACAGCTACAGTATTTGTCAATGTTTTAGAGGCAGCTGCTGTGTTGATACGGATCACACCCAAAGAAACCCTGCAGAATTTATGTTTTTTAACCCAAGTCACCAAAGCACATTAATCACACTGTGTTAGTTCATGCACATTCTAAGAGAAACAGTATTCATTATCCACCTCCCTTCCTCCTATAAACCATAATCTTATAATTTAGATTTTCAAATAAACAGGTATGCCAGAGTCAATAGCACTATTGCTTTAGGGTTTCACCCCCCCCCCCCCCCTTCCCCCCCTCCCGGCTTTAATGCAAATCTTTAAAGCTCCAACATAATTCATAATAAGCAACGGTCAGTGTAAATACTGAGCAAAAACAGGCAATACACCCAAGACATGATGCCCGCTCTTTCTGGAGGGCTGCTTTTGGTTATGCTTAAATAAACATATAATACACTGATTCTATTTTTTTTCTTTTTTTTTTTTTTAGCTAATTAGGGCTCCGCGATTCCCACTTATCCTCCCAGTGATTCGTACCGGAACCCATTTCATGCAATAAAATAAAATTAAATAGATTAAAGAACTATCAGCGGCTGCTGGGTTTTTTGTTTGGATTTTTTGTTTGGATTTTTTTTTTTTTTGGAGGCGGGAGTGGTGGTGGTGTTATTTT